AATTAATTAATTAATTAATTAATATGCCGCCCACTCTACCCAAAGGTCTCTGGGCGGCTTACAATTAAAATTCAATACAATAAAATATAAAATGATTAAAATACAATTAAAATACAATTAAAATTGCCATCATAAAGACCCACAGTTAATGTTATTTCAATTAAAAGCCTTCTGGAACAGGAAGGTTTTGACCTGGCGCCGAAATATCATCAGTGTCGGCGCCAGACGAATTTCAGTCGGGAGGGCGTTCCATAGTCTGGGGGCAGCTGCCGAAAAGGCCCTTTGTCTACAAGCCATCCCTCTTACCTCCTTGAGGGATGGCTCTTTCAAAAGAGCCCCCTGGCTAGATCTTAACAGCCGGGTAGGCTCATATGGAAGGAGGCGGTCCTTCAGGTATCCAGGGCCCAAGCCGTTTAGGGCTTTATATGTCAAAACAAGCACTTTGAATTGGGCCCAGACAGCAACTGGTAACCAATGTAAATTATACAGAATCGGCTTGATGTGCTCTCTAGCGGCCCCACCACTCACCAGCTGCGCAGCTCGATTCTGGACCAGTTGCAGTCGCCGGACCGTCTTCAAAGGCAGCCCCACATAGAGCGCATTGCAATAATCAATACGAGATGTTGAAGCACTATTTCCCATAAGAATACATTGAAAACCCATGACTCCATTTCTGCTGAAAAAAATAATCAAACCCCTTCCCCCAAGCACAAACAAACACAGCCAGCCCCATCGGAACGTGATGGGGCTGGGGAAAAAAAAAACCAATAAACATCACCAAAAAAACGCACAAAGCCTCTCTGCAAATGCGCACACTCTTAACCGTTGGGTCAAAAGAGTTTCAAAGAAGCCCTCCACTGACCAATGGTTAGTACCTACATTTGAATTCCCCACCTTTTTCCCCCACCTGATTTTTGTTTGCAACTTGAAGCTCCAGCCGCAAGTCGAAGCACAATTTGACAGCCGGAGCTGGTTGCAACTCGTAATGGTCATATGTCGGGACGGTCGTAAGTCGAGCTACCCCTGTATTAAAAGAAAAATCCTGGAAATAATATATTTCTCAAGGTGAGGTGACCAGGACTGGCCACGAGAGAGCCAGAGACCATGCTATGTAAAAGCATTCACTATTAGAATAGTGTTTGCTCTCCATTATTTTCAGCATCTGCAGGGGGAAGCTTGGAATCAATTCCCCACGGATAAGGGGGTCCTCCTGTATTGCATGATTGAAAGAAAACAGAGTATATCAAGGTGTGATTTTTGTTTCTCTTTTTTCTCCCTCCCTAGGGAGACTTTACGTGCAGTTTTACTTACGCTGCTCAGGGTGGAACGAACGAGGTAAGTTCCTGGAATCCCAGGATTTTTTTTTCTTTTTGCTTAGAGTTTTGGCCTCCCCGAGTCCTCCCGAAAATGCCCTTATTCTGCAAAAGGGAACTTTGCTGTCCATGCAGGCTTATGGAGGGAGAACATGCAGGCTACGGAACGTTCACAAGCAGTGTCCTCTGCGTGCCTTAGAGAGAGAGGTGGGGGAGGGTGTTTTTAAAGCCTTGGATTTCACTTTTGGCTTTGGGAGCAGCTCCCGAGTTTGTTGCTGGAAACGGGGTTGGATGATCTTTGCCCACTGGCCCAAGAAACTTTCCCAGCCTGCTTTCTGTTTGTTGTGCTTTCTGCCCTTCAAGACATTCCTTCGAATGGACTTGGGGTGTGTGTGTTTGGCTGAGCAATGATTTCTTTCTCCTCTCTCCCAGCAATGGCAGATGAGCGTTGGGCTGAGTGAAGACAACCTCTTGTTTTCTTGCTCGGTGTGGAGGTGAGTACAAGTCCTTTAAAAGAGAACCTGAAAAACCCACAACAACTTTTAAAAGAGCCTGCCACACAATGTGGCAGAAGGGGGTTTGCCCTGTTCCGACAACCACAGACTTCCGCCCACCCTTCCGCCCACCTGCTGAGAAGGGGCATCTCTCTAGATCTGGAAGGCTTCGTCAGTGACGCTCCCCAGAGAACTCGCGAGCCAGGGGTTTCCCACTTTGGCAGCACACTCTAGGCGATCGGAAACTCACTTTCCATCACAGCTCCACGTCTGGCCTTCCCTCCAAGAAACCAGCTTGGTTTTCCTGGGTCTGATGAAACAGAAAACAAAAGCTTTCTGATTTGCGAGCGCCGATAAAAAGGGGCTAAAAGAGTGATTTATAGAGCGGGTTGCAACCCAAGGTGATGTGTTTGTTGGGTGGCAAACAGAGGGTGAATTCTTTTCCAATCTGAGCCAAGATGCAATCACTCTGGTGCACCTCGAGTCTCCTCTTAATCACAGCATCCGGCTTGACGTGTTCCTTGTGACTCTTCATCTGTCATACATAATCTCCTTCCCCTTCCCCTTTTTTCTGATGCCCTGTAGCTATCATCTCACCCCTTCCTTTTTTCCCCCCTCCCTTTTTAGGCCTCAGGGGAAGTCTTATCTGTTCTTTACGCAGTTCAAAGCCGAAGTGAAAGGAGCAAAGATTGAGTACGCCATGGCTTATGTGAGTCGCCTCAGATACCCCTTGTCACAGTTGCACAGGCATTAGCTGGAAAAGAAGATTGTCAGAGATAAATAATGATTAAAAAATATGTGCCATTGCACCAGTCAGACGCCCTGGCTCGAGTTAAATGCTTTTTCTAGTGGGGAATTGAGATTGGACACACACATACCCCCGGGGAGTCCAGACTGGCCTAGACTCTCCATGCCCCCTTGCTGGGTGGGTCACTTTTCCCCAGAGGCTAGATCAACCTATACAGTATACTTTAAAGCAGTGCTTCTCAATGTGGACTACATAGGCCCTTGCGGGGGGGGGGGAACTCTGATACTTTTGAAGGGGGCCATAGACTGGAAACAGTTCTTTCACACACCATCTTATAAAGTTCTTTATGCAGCTTATAGAATCCTGATTTGGCCTATGTTTGTGTTGATGGCCATGGCTGAAAAGAGGTTGAGAATGGCTGATTTAAAGTACAACAGGACCCATGTATCGGTTCCAAGTCCCCCCCCCCGGGGTGAATGCTGAAAATCGCACATTTTAGCAAACCCTATCTTAATAGCCAATGCGATTCATTATCACGGGCTCCCTCCAATAGCTGCTTCATCTTTAGAAACTTACATTTCTAGGATATTTCATTTAATGTTTTCAGACACGGGTAAGCCCCCCCCCCGACTGTATTGCCTTTTAAGTTGGGAGAGGCATTACGAACCAGGGTTCGCAATGCTGGCCTAAATGAATTTGCGCTTCGAGGCAGCCTCATTCCAACTTCCACCACACGGACTAGAGCCTTAGCTTTTAGAGACAGCGGGAGCTGGACTTTGCTTCCAGTTCTGCCGTTCTGAAATGCGTTGGACCGGGAGCACCGATTGGAGGTCTTTGCTGCAATTGGTCATGGAAAGACCTGGGGTGGCCGGGGAGGGGGGGAACGACCAAACGCTGTAGCTATGTTTTCCTGAGTTTTACCGTCGCCCTTTGGGTCTGGTTCCTGTTTTTGAACCCTGTGCCCTCTTGTTGCAGTCAGCAGCGGCCACAGGAGGGCAGAGCGATATCCCCTTGAAACAGGAAGAGTCCCACGTAACTGAAACAGCAGGTGAGACTCACTGAAGGGGCTTGGGGGTATGTTAATGGTGAAAAGATGCCTTGTTTTGCTCTTTAATCTCTCTTCTCCTTTCTTCACCCTCTCTCTCTCTTTCTCTCTCTCTCTCTCTCTCGTTTCCCACCCCTTCCCAGTGGCTCATAGGGAAGGCAAGTTCCGGGCCGAGCTCTCGAAACTGGTGGTGGTGGCCAAACCGGCCCACGTCGAACTATGAACTGTGGACAGATCCGTCCTGGGCAGACCTCTGGGTCAGCGCCAGCCATTTCTTAGGGAGCGGGCTGGGGAGTCCTCTTTTCCACCCCCTGAGGCTCCGTCAGAGCAGGATTTTGGGGGTGAAACTTCTTGGGGAAGATCACAGCAACGTTGGCCGCCCTAACGGGAAGACCTTTGTTGAATTTCTTTGAGAGGGGGTTGTTTAGGTGCTGGACTGATTCCCCTCCGTTGGGGAGGGGGCAAACCTGTTTCCTTGGTGTCCGTGTTTTGAAACCTATGCCGAGCTAATGGTTGAGCAGAAGGGGAACATGGCAGGGAATTGATTTTTCTCAAGCTGTATGTTTTTGTATTGATTGCACACCCATTTCTACCTATGCTTTACACAAAAACGTTCCTGAGAAATGTCTTCGACCAACATATTTATCTCATTCCACCCCACTTCCGGTCTGTAAATTTGTTGAGAGCGAAGTGATTTCTTGAATTTCCAAGAAATTCTTAAGGGTTGACCCACCTTGGCGGTGGGACACATCTTATCTCAACAGAGTCTTCTCTGCTTTCCTAGCCGCAGAGGAAGTAATGGTATGAATAAATTGAGTCTGCCTCTTGAAAAGCTTGGTTGCCTTGTGTTTTAGCATCTTCTCTCATCGGGTCCTTGTTTCTAAAACGAGCAAGCCTCAGAGTGAGGCAGAACGCTTGGGATAAAAGAAGTGCCATCCAGGTTGGATAGGCGCCTCTCCTGGTGTGGTTTGAAGCGTTCAGACAAGACCGCATCATATCAAAACACATACTTTCAGGAACAACTTCTTATATATATAAAAATGCTTTATTTCACACCGACAAACAGTCGTTTCAAACAAGTCCTCATTCAAGAAAACAGCTTACCTAAGGAAGTGCTCTGACCAATAAATGTGCTGCCCCCCCCCGTTCTCTCCCAAAGTGGGGTTGTGGAAGTTTTGTACAACACAACCATCCCCTGATAGCAGTGCTTGCATCTTCAGCCTCCTTCCTTCAGTCACTAAGGGCTGCCATGGCCTCCCTGGGGGCAGAGAGCAAAAGCAGGATCGTGTACGTTCAGCAAGGGTGAAGTTATGTAAGTAACTAAGCACCATTGCCCTGCCTCCATGCATGGCAGGTCTTGTCCGCATCTTAATTTTTAAGAACCCAAGAAGATAAATAAAACTTGGAGCTGGTTGTGACTTTTAATTGTCATCTGTACTTGGAGCTGGTTGTGACTTTTAATTGTCCTTCCTATGAAGGAAGACGGAAAGAACTGGACATGTTTAGTCTCGAGGAAAGAAGACTGAAGGGAGACAGGAGAGCCCTTTTCAAAGACTTGAAAGGCTGTTATTCAGAGACGGTCAGGATCTGGTCTCGATCCTCCCAGAGTGCAGGATGCATCGTCATGGGCTCAAGAGACAGGAAGCCAGATTTAGGCTGAAGATCAGAAAAAAACCTCTGAACTGTTAGAGCAGCATAGCAACAGAACCCACATCCTTTTGAGGTGGTGAGTGCCTCTGAACTGTTAGAGCAGCATAGCAACAGAACCCACAACCTTTTGAGGTGGTGAGCACTACAACGCTGTGAAGGCCTTCAAGAGAAAACAGGACCCACCCTCTGTCCGATCTGCTTTGATTCGGGTTCCTGCCTTGAGCAAGGAGTTAGGTTTGATGGCCTCGGGGGGGGGGCTTGCATGGAATCCTATTGTTCCATGATTCTAATACGTTAGAGCAGCATAGCAACAGAACCCACAACCTTTTGAGGTGGTGAGCACTACAACGCTGTGAAGGCCTTCAAGAGAAAACAGGACCCACCCTCTGTCCGATCTGCTTTGATTCGGGTTCCTGCCTTGAGCAAGGAGTTAGGTTTGATGGCCTCGGGGGGGGGGCTTGCATGGAATCCTATTGTTCCATGATTCTAATACCACCACTTACTCTCACTCTGTGTTTCATGGACAAACCAACCGTTCCCTCTATTTTCAGATAGTGTCAGGATCTCTTCCCCAGCTATACTTGGAGACGTGAAGCAATGAATCTACATCCACTGAATACCTCATGTGGGTTCTTATTGCAGAGCTTCAGTTCAAAACATCAGAAACCAGGTCATCCCGTTTCAGAGAATCAAATTCATTGTGATTTTCTGCATGAGATCCCATTGGCTGCTGTGTGTGTCAAAACTGAGCCCGTCTGTGTCTGTATGAATGGATGCGCTCTCTCCCTCCCTCTCTCTCTTTTTTTTAAAGGGGGAAGCCAAATTACTAGGAACAAAGAGCAGGAGGGGACTTAATTCTCGTGGACGGATTATTTGGTTGTTGGCTACATGGAACACTTTCTTTTCATGGGTAACACGACTGTTCTCCATTTGCTTTCAACCCGTGATCTTCAAGATAGCGGTGACTTTAGAAATTATCTAAAGCAGAGGTTTCCAACCCTCCAGTCTGCAGCCCGGCCACGGAGACAGACCTTGTGCCCCACCCACCCATCCACCCTGCACGCACTCACCCCCGCACAGCTAATTTGCGCATGGCACGTGCACTCCAGCGCCCCTGTGTGAGCACCACACTGCCGTTTTGTGCATGTGCACGAGTGCGGAGGTTCCCCCGACTTCCCAACCGGTCTGTGGGGTGAAAAAGGTTGGGGACCCCTGATCAAAAGAACCAATTTATCTAAGAAAGGAAGGGAGAGGAGTGGGCTATAGGGAGTTGCCTTCTCTTGAGCCAGATACTGGTTTGTGTCATTCTTGTTGACACTGGGCTGCCAATTGGGTTTCTCCGGGGAGATGGACCTATGACTGCTACCTCTATCTTAAAGCTTTTAGCTTCCAAAACCACACATGGTCGGATGTGTTCAAGGTGGTGCAGTTTTCATCCCAAATTGCTACTTGGAATGTTCAAGAACAAGGAATAATAAACCCAGTTCTTGAGCATCGCCACAACGAAAGAAACGTCTTTGGGACGTTCTAAGAAGGGAGAGCTCCGGAGTCGAGACGCTTTCCCAAGTGAACATTTGGTCCTTTTGGGCGTTCTGTCCACGGAAGTGGGGGGACCGATGCGGAGAGGATCCAACGTTCACAGGTTCCCTTCGTCCAGCATCCGGTTCAGCCCTTCGCAGATCCTCTGCAGATGAGTGCAGTACGGTTCGGAAGACGAGTAAAGAGCGGACAGGAACTCATAGTCGGCAAAGTGGTTGAAGACGTGGTTGATCCTGGAATGAGACTTGACCGTCAGGTGGGTGTTGACCGCCTGATGCAGCAGCTCCCGGCACTCGTTGAGTATATTGGACAGGACCCGGCGGTCGAAGGTGAAGTCTATCTGGTGGAAGCTGACGGCGGTCATGGCTAGGGTGTGGACCTTCTTCCGGAAGCGTTCCATGAGGGCCAGCTCTTCCGCATTGAACTGTCCATTGCGGAAGAGGACCCCCAGCTTCGTGACGACTTTGACTAGGTTCTTGACGATCTTCTGGGCTTCCTTGCGGTTGCGGGTGAACTCCTTGGTGACTCGGTAAAGTTCGTCGAGGATCTCGCTGCTGGTGTCATCGATGAAGATGCTTGCCGTGCTCTTGGAGGCCATCTTGCTGAGCAGCTTTTTCTGGGCTTGGAGGGCGAGGTTCTTGGTGCTGAAGGTATCCATCTTCCCTGAGGAAAAAAAAACAAGGGGAACAGGCTGATGATGCCTTCTCTTTGGCCCGACGTTCGTTTCTAGAAGTCCTTGGGTTTTATTGTAAAAACCCTTGGGTGACCTGTTGAACCCATGTCTTGCCCTGCAGTCTACTGGGCCTTCAACCACTTTCACACAGGCTAAGCACCCACCCCCTGGTGATTCTTGTCTTCCAAACATCCTAGTTGCTAGTGCCAAGGAAGTAGACCTGTCGAGTCCACGGCTAAATGGTTGGTCAGTGCCTCCATTGTGGATTCAGCAGGTCTGCTCTGATTGGGGACTAGCTGTTCCTTAATTCTTGCATTGTGCGCAAACTTTTAGGACTTTTTCCTGAAATGGGGCTTCCAGTTTGTTGAGGAAATCGGTTCGTTGAGGACGAGTCACTTAGGCAGCCGTTGCCTCCTTAGGGCACAGCACAAAATCAGGATTGCGTGTGTTCAGTAGGGGTGAAAGTATGTCAGTGACTTAAGCACTATCACGCCACCTCCGTGCACGACGGAACATGTCCACGTTTTAATTTTTAAGAACCAAAGAAGATAAATAAGGCTGGGAGCTGGCGGAAGGAGCTCTCCTAAGACAAAATCACGGAAAGCCTTTTTAATGTGTGTATTTGTAAGATCTGTATACTTTGACACACACACATAAAACAAAGCATGAGTTTTTTGTAGAGTAGCAGAACGGGAAGGGGGGGCACTGGATCATGGGTTCCAGCCCTTCTTGAAGAGGCTCAGCAGGGGAATCGAACTCCCAACCTCTGTCATCACCGGCCCAGAGACCCCAACCACTGAGCTGTGAGATCGGACACAATCTTTCCCGCCCCCCCAAAAAAAACACTGGATCATGGGTTCCAGCCCTTCTTGACGAGGCTCAGCAGGGGGATCGAACTCCCAACCTCTGTCACCACCGGCCCAGAGACCCCAACCGCTGAGCTGTGAGATCGGACATACTCTTCCCCCCCCAAAAAAAAACCCTCAAAAGAGCTGCACTCCCCACTTCCTCCCAGGCTCCTAATTCCAGTAACGACCCATTGCTCTATTTTTTTTTAAACTTTTGGTTACGAGAAGGGGAAAAAAATAACCTGTTATCCTCTAATACTCGTTGATGATGTTAGGCGATCACATCAGAATCAAAGAAGTCACACGCACAGAGAGAGAGAGAGAGAGCCCGACAGGCAAGAAACTCAAAGAAGGGAAAAGATAAGGACGGTGCATGGGCGCCTGTTCTTAATCTCCCCAGCCTGTGGTTTGGCGCTTTCTGATAGCAGTAGGGAATGATAAGTTTTGCCCATGGGTGAGAGTGACGGTCTGGCTTGGAGGTGTGGTTTTTTGTTTTGTTTTTTTGTCTTTGCAAAGTCTCCTCCTTTCCGATGGGTTATCTCTCCCCATCCTCGTGGGCCCAGGGCTTGCTTTGGTCTCCTCCGTATCTCTTGAACGGCCTTGATTGTAGGTGAGATGAGCCGCCAAGCAGAGGTCAAATGGGAGACAAAAGCTATTGGGATTTCAGTATGAAAAAGGGTGAGCAGAGGGTCGCTCGGTGTGAACAGGATGACAGGGTTCCCGTTCTGCTGTACAAAAAAAAACCCCTCTCTCTGCTCCTGTGTTCTTGGCTAGCTCTGCGAAACCAGAGCTCTTGGGGTTCAAACCCTGGGGGATTTTTCTTCATCGCCTGGCATCATCTGCCCTCATCCCCCACCGCCTCTGCTTTCTTCTGCTTTTCCCTTTTCAGTTTTGTGGTAAAGTTGTCTGCGCTGTAAGGCAAACGGCTTGAGGGTGGTTTGATCTATGATGGGCAGTCGAGAGTCGTTCACTTTGCAAAACGCCTGCTCTTCACAAAGCTGATAAGAGGAGATAAACGGGAAATGTTTCATTGAAAGGCCCTTCAGAGGTCCTTTTTTTTTTTGGAAACAAATCAGTTTTACCCATTACATTTAAGTAACTTTTGGGTGTTACTCCTTATACCAGAAAAGTAATTTGCAGCGTTTATATTCTGAGTCCCAGAGTGACCAGTTCTGACTTATGAGGGTGGTTTGATCTATGATGGGCAGCCGAGAGCCGTTCACTTTGCAAAACGCCTGCTCTTCACAAAGCTGATAAGAGGAGATAAACAGGAAATTTTTCACCTTCAGAGGTCCTTTTTTTTTTTTTTGGAAACAAATCAGTTTTACCCATTACATTTAAGTAACTTTTGGGTGTTACTCCTTATACCAGAAAAGTAATTTGCAGCGTTTATATTCTGAGTCCCAGAGTGACCAGTTCTGACTTACGGTGATACTTCCCTGGGTTTTCTAGGTATTTTCTCTTTCCCTTCTTTGCAGGGGGTGGGAGGGGAGAGGGAATCCCCAGGACTGTGCAGCTTTTGCCCAAGGCCACCCAGGCCGGTTCTCCTCCCAGGAGGCACCCAGTGGGGGATTCAAACTCCCAACCTCAGGCTCTGCAGCCAGAGACCTAAACCACTGAGTGATCAAGCCAGCTCTCGTACATTGTTCACACGAATAATTCCAGAAGAGGGACAGAGAATAGAACTGTCTCTCTTCTAATGTATTTGCTGTCTCGCATCCGGTTCACACGAATAATTCCAGAAGAGGGACAGTGAATATAACTGTTTTTGCTGTCTCGCATCCGAGTCCGACAGCCACAACCCTGGTTTTCTACAAGTGGTCTTTCTGGCTCAATTTACAGCCGCAACCCACAGCCCTTGTCCTTTGCAACCCTAAACGGTGCTCGCATATCGCAGTCCGGTGAACGGGATGAATTTTTCATCAGCCCTCACAAAAACCGCTTCAATAATTCACTGATCAGCCAGGAGAGTAGAAACAAGAGACGCCTTGAGATTATTTTCAGGGTTTTTTACCTGGAGATCATGGTTTCCCATCTAGCCTGTCACTACCACGACAGCCGTGTGCAGGTCTTTCTCTAAAAGGACACGTTTTCGTCCCAAGAAAAATCTTAATTCTCTGGCACAGAATTACCCTTTCTTGATGCAGACCTTTTTTTTTTTTGTAAACACGACTCCCCACGCACACGATAAAAACCCAACTTTAAGATTTCCTGCTGCCTGCCTCCCAGAAAACGGCTTCCTGCACCAGGGCCCAAGCCGGGCAAGGTGTCGTAGAACAAAGGACAGAGGGTCTCTTAAACATGTACAGAGTGTTTCAGAACGGCTGCGCTCATCCGCAATTAAGCCAGAAGGAAACCTTACTGGGAATTTGGAGCCAATTTGCAGTCGGGTTAAGCCTCAGGACCAGAACTGGGCATCCCCATGGTGGACCACAACGTGGAGTGGGAGGCAGGGTTTCTTACACCCAAGTAGACCTGCATGGTGTCGAGAAGGGAAGGTACTGCTTAGGAAGCCTCCGGGCCCCTGGATTTTGCGGTAACCCCTGGCCAGGCAGAAAGAAGGACCAGAAGGAAGCAGCCACGCTCCATCCTTGGGAACGATTAAATAAACCCTCGGAAGAGAAAAGGCTAATCATAAAGCTTGCTTAACGAGTGAATCCTCTACTTTATGCGCCAAACCCTTAAAAAGAGAAGATCTATGCTCACACGCTTTGCTTTCGGTCCATTTTATAGGCGCATGGATGTTCTTAAAAGCAACAGCTTCCTCGTTTTCTCCTTTTGCCCACTGGCTTCAGTCCAGCTGTGTGGGATTACAACTCCCATGCTGCCTGGGGAGTATTTGGTGGGGCTATATTCCCCAAACCAGCTGGAGGGTGTTGAAAATAGCCGGGGCCGTTCCTAAGGAGGAAAGACGCTGATAAATTGGACTGGCCGATCTGCGGGGACGTCTTTCTCGACGCCTTGGCTTTCGTCCCAGACGAGGGCCGTCGGCCCATGCTCAGAAGAACCCGTGCCCTTGGCTTTAAAACAACAGACTGCCGCTAGGAGGGGCTCTCTGACTGGGTGAATGGTCTGTTAGGGATCTCTCTGGTGTAGAAGAGAAATGTGCAGTGGCGTTCTGCACATGCTCAGAGGTCCTCCCTTATGGGACGGAACAGTACAGAAGGTTTGATTTCTGGAAACCTCCCTGATAGAAGGAGGTCTCTCTCTCGCTCTCTCTCTCTCTCTCTGACTTCCTCCCATTGGGCCTTGACTCTTAAAATTGGCTCTAGTCTTGGCCCCTGTTACTTAATTCGGGGCCCTCTGCGTGTTATCAGATGCCCTCTCTTCTCTCCACTCCTATCCACCTTGGAAAACCATCCTTCCTTTCCTGCTATTACCAAAGGGGTTTGCTGGAAACGAGATCTTTGGTATCATCTGTATCCCTTCCCCGTTTCTGCCCTCGATAAAAAAGTGAAGCAGCAGCACAGTTTACAGAAGGCAGAGAGATGATAGCAAACAGACAGGGAAAAAACTTAGATAGGCACATTTTTCTTTGCTTACATCCTTTGAATTTGGCAAGTGAGAACAATGAGCATGAACTTTCAGCTAAGAGTTTGACTTCCTGCAAATTTCTTGCACCATACTTCCATCAAGAGAGTGGTCTACCCCTTTATTCTTCTTTTCCCCCCTCCTTATCTTTCCTCCTTTTATCTCCCTCTCCTTGTGAGTTTTATTTCTTACCTGATTTCCTGCAGCCACAGTGGAGAGCGGCCTTCCGACCAAGCCCCGCTTATCAGCAAAACTTCCTTGATTTCTTAGCCTCTGTGCACCCTTGGCTCTCTCCTCCCCTCCAAAAAAGTGGTACAGGGAAATCTCCCCCCCCTTTTTCCCCCCCTCCCTTTCAACTAAAAAATTAATCAGTGCAATCGCTTGATAGAGATTCTTTTCTTTTTCAGCAACTGAGGAGATATCTTTGGGTGCAGCTCCGGCTTTTGCTAGAAAGCCACCCGCCTGAGTCCAAAGTTGAAACTTGATGCTTTTTAAACACACACACACTCATAGAGAGCCAGATAAAGTTTCAAATTCAGCCAGGAGTTGAGGTTGGTGGGAAGAAAGAGGAGGTTGACAGCTCGGGAGACCAACCGCGGCCCGCGGCGACCTCTGAAGCAGCCTATGGAGAGCACGCACAGAAAGGGGAGGGCCCCGAATTTCGGGTGGGTGTGCAAGAATCGAGAGATGGGGGAGCATGAAACAGCACTTCTTCTGTTGTCTCCGAGATCTGATGGGCTCAAGAACAAAACCACCCCCAAAAAATGTGCTTCAGCTCAAGCGAAGGCGGACCAGGGGACTGGAAAACGTCCCAGGCTAACTTTGTAACTCAGTGAGCAAACAGCAAAGTAACTAACAAACCAGTTCCCCAACTGGGATCACTGGAGCAACACGGCTTCCAGAAAAAAGCTTTTGTGCCCAGATCTTGGAAGGATTGTGTTAAGAATGAATGTGCCATAATTTTGTCAGTTCGCTCTCTCAGTTTTTCTGTAGCAAAAAGCCTGAGTATTTCTTATTTATTATCTTTAGGGCTACTGTAATGTAGTCATAAAGGATCTAAAGTAAAATTAAAACCCACTCGTTCGGTCAGATAAAACGAGGAACCAAAATATAGATCAAATTACTTTTTTTTTTTTTGAAAGGGTCGGCCATAACTTCTCCACTCCCCTATTGATAGGAAAAAATATTCAGAACGGAACTGAACCGTCGTTAAGGAACTTTAAACACGGGTGCGTGTTTTTTCCACGTTGCTCACTGTCTGCACCCTCGGATCCATGGCTTGTACAGAAATCAGCCCTTTAGCCTTTATGTTGTTCGCTTATGTTCTTTTGTTCTCCGTTTTTTTTAAAAAAATATTTGCACAGTGAAATTTGCTAAGGAGGCTTGCCTGGTTGAAAAACAGGAAACTGCCCCCCCCCCAGGAGCCACACTACTGGAGGGGATCCTTTTGTGGTCTCCAGAAAATAACTTTTTCGGGCACCGTCAACTGATTTGCGCTATGGTGAAGGCCTGAAATGCAAGCCTCCATCTTTTCGCCTTGCCACGACTTTTAGCTCCTTCGGCTATGGCGCCGGACGGATGACCCAGCGTTGTCGCTGTACCTACCCCGAATGATGGACACGGGACATCCTGAACATTCGGTTGCTTTTTCAGAAGAACTAGAAAGGAGTGTAGTTACTTTTGAATGAGAAGCAGTTAAGTAGTTCACTTGGAAACTGGAACTATAATGGGGTCTGAGTATGCTGCGACAGTAACTATTGCTTTTTTAGAAGTGACTTTGCTGTCCCGTGGCCGTATTTATTGGCAGAATTTTACAGAGGCTCTGGTTTTACAGAGGCACCAACTTCAACATTTTTATTTCCCTAGTTCCCCACTCACTTTTCCATTTCTTTTCACGTGCGCATGAAAACAATCACTCCAGGATACTAGAACTGCAGAAGCGGTTTGATTTGCTGTGGGCGCAGACGACGCTAAAAGCCACCCACTCCTTCAAAGCATTTAACATGAACAAACCTAGAATGAGATACCGACAACCCACACAGAGAAAAGGTGGACCCACCTTTTCCGACAGGGGCGCTCACTCTGAGCATCGAAGCCTTACCATCGAGAGCAATCGAAAAAACTCTTTGTGATCCTCCCACAGCTTTGCCTTCTGGTGGGGGAATGTGAGCTTCGTAGTCTGAAAAAAGTGGCCGTTTTTCCAAGTTCAGACTTACCTCCTTCCCCGGGAAAAGGCGATGGCGTCCTTGCTTTTCTCCACCCGAAGCTGAATGGCGGAGGCGACAGCTGGGCGCTTTAGGGACCCCGGGGCCGCTGTAAACAGGGCCTGCGGGCAATGGTGCCGCTAAGCCGGGGGTCAAGGCATCGCCTCTCTGCAAGGGTTGACCCTTTTTGTCTTTCGAGGTCAGCCGCTTCCTCCTTCCCTCGGTTCCATTTCCTCTTCTGCTTGGCCTGGCTTTCTGGCGT